TCAATAACATATAGCGGTCTAGCGCCGAGTGTTAACACTCTAGCTTACCGTCATGCATCAAATAAGATTCTTAGATTTATCAAAACATCATATATATTTTCAGAAATCATATTAATATGGATTATCATTGATTGGTATCAAAATAGGATTTAATAGTTCAAAAATCAAGTTTCTGAAAATTTCTCAAAGCAGAAGGTACCCCTAACAGTACCTCGGTACCACCCAAAAGGTACAGGGTACCGCTTGGCATCAGATACCGCCAGAGGGAACGGATTTCTGCGATGGAGACGGTAGCTTGCCTACAGTTCCGACAATACGGCCTACCGTCCCGGCGGTACCAAGGTACCGTCCGGACATTAGCAGGCTACCGTTCTGCGCGTAGTTTTGAACAGTGTCATCTTCAACCTCGGGCCAATTTTTTGGAAATGTCAATTTTAGTCACCAAACTTCAATTAAATTATATAGAAATGTTCTCCAGGGTTCATAGGTCATTTTGGTATCATTAGTTCGTAGTTTTTAACAACAATTTCAAGGTTTATGATTCTTAGTTTTTCAAGCATGTCAAATACAAAACTCAACCAAACGACCGTTTATGAACGTAGAACGTAGAAACGATCTATACGAACATTCTAGTCACCAGATATATCTACGGGCTTACCTCGAAGCTAAACGATGATTCCGGCGATCGAACGACAAAACTTCTGACGAACACCACGACTTGCTTTGACGACTTCATACCAAATCGACAGCATTACAACACTCCCCACACTTAGATCTCTCTTTAGGAAGAAGAGTGGTGAAGAATGGTGAGGGTTTGAGGTGTTTATATAGTGGAGGAGTAGAGGAAGAAGCCAATGAAGTGATATCTCTGATTCTTGTTTCAGCGGCTGAGTGGAGCAAACGGTGCAATTCTGGGATTTGTACATTATCCCTTATTGGGACTAATTTAGTCCTAGTCGAGGTACACTTTTTGGTTCAACTTTCTCCTATTTAAAATCTGATTGAACCGTTGGGGTCAGACAGTCAAACTCTACACAACGATATAATTTTTATTATTTATTGACAAACTTTATAAATTACTTATTTTTGGGTCCTTCTCAGTAATTAATTAATTATTAATTAATTAATTCTGATAGGCTTATTTTTTGGGGCGTTACAGGTTGAGAGTGAAGTCGATGCAATTCCATTTTTTTCCTAAAAATTCATATTAGGGTTAAAAGATATGACATTTACTTCTCTCTAAAGCTCTATCGCAGCTATGGATAAAAGATCTTTACTCACATAGCGGACGTCAATGTCGTTGAAGTTCAAGATAAACGATGACAAATATTTTGTTGAAGAGCCGCCCACTGTCCATAAAAATATGCTAGAGATTATAGAGAAGCTTAAATTGTGGTGTAATTACATGGTTTTATTTTAATTTGTATTTTCAATTGCTAAATTAGACTAAAGAAAAACCATATGTAAATTGTTATGGCATATTGAAGCATATATGGCATGTCTATGTGAAAATGTTTAACATTTTATTATTTATTTTGTAGTGTATAAAGTTTGTTAGTGAAAGTCATTTGAGGGCTTAATAAAGACATTGTAGGAAAAACGTGTGGATAAATTACGTATAGAATGACCTAAAATAAGTCATAGACATTAAATTAAAACTCTATGTGACCTAGGATAGTGCTTGAGGAAAGATATTAGAGTAGAAGAACATTACATTTAAAAAGATAGTATGGAGTGTGGAGCTTTAGGAGATTTCCTTCATGGTCCCAAAATGAAGTTGCCAAGACACCATTAAGGGAATTATGAGTAGGATTTATAATGTGAGAAAGGTGGCTATCCAAATAGTAAGACGAGAATTACAACAATAGCCACTGAGCATGTTATCAAAGCAAACAAAATTGATATTGGAATAGGATGAAACACAATGCGAGTTAGGATAATTCTTCAAAAAGGATATTATTCCAACAGAATAATGCATTTAAAAAGACTTTGGTGCGGAGTGAGGTATATGTGATGTGTCATTATTATAAAAATTGATAACATTTAAATTTTTTGTTAATATTTACCATCAATTGCTAATCAGAAAAGTACATAAGCAAGATGTTATGCCATGTGTTTAATAAAATTTCTTTGAATTTAGTACTTAATTATTTCATTTATACGAGCAATGACAATTTAAAATTCAGCATTGCATAGAGTTCCTTGTTGAAACTTAATGCAGGGCATGAAGATATTTTTTGTTGGATATGAGGAAATTACCTATAACGACACTAGGGGTGGGAATGTGGGATAAAGTAATATGCAAATTGTTAGTCAAATATGAAGGCATTATACTATGTAGGAAATTGTGTATGTTTTTTGAGAAAATCATGTGAACAATGACCATCGTGAAGGTTCATTTAGTCTCAGTTACGTAATGTCAGCATTGAAATTGTGTGATAGGACATTATGTTAATAAGGACTTAGCGTTGTAATACAAAATTATTGATTTCAACACACCAAGTAGAATACACAATTATTTGAAGAGAGCCCACTTTTAATATATGAGGAAAATATTGCTCCAAACTTAATACAATAACTCTCATATCAAAACCCAAAGCTTGGCTATGATATTGTTAACCCAACTTGGTCAAAAATTAAGCTAATTAATCCTAGAACCCATAATTCTATTCCTACTCAAAGTGGAATATCTTGGGTAATCCTAATCCTACTTGGAAATTAGCCAACATTCACCCTCTAATTTCCGAGTAGGATTTTGGTTGCTTGTCAACTCCAAACATATCTTCTTTACCGTGATTCTCCCGAGGCTCTTCATGATCCATTGTAGTGCGTTCTTTGGGCTCCACTTAGCTTGAATAAACACTTGATTCTCACGAACATTACATGTATTTCCTTGGGCTAGAATCTCTTTCTTGACATTTCCTGTAAACTCTTGAACATTATTCTTTGGGCTTTGAATTTTGGGTTTTTCCATTAAACTTGAATCTTTGAGAAGATTCTGACTGGTACTTCACATACCTTCTTTCAATTTATCAACTCTTTGTAGATCCCGACCCACAAGATTCTTCATTTCAATACTGCTAACTTGTGGAGTTTCTATCTTGAGTAACTTTAAAGTAATTTGACTAACCTTTTTTGTTTAATCAAAACACAATCTACACAACGGTGGCCTCTCGATCTATATAACCAGACTTGGTTAAATAAAGATCATCGAAAACTAGCTCTTGATCTGCTTGGTGCCCACTCACCCTGTGTTGTGCATGATCGCCTTAATCTTGTCGTGCTCTCGTGTCCTCCAGCGAGGACGGCATGATTCAAATATGTGGCGCTACTTGCATATGACAGCGGCTAGCTTACAAGATAGCAGTGTCGATCAAAGTTGCAGTGGCGATGTTCTATCCAACAACAACCACTTTTGTGCATCGGAAAAAGATCTGAATCGACTTAGGATGGCTCTTAGTTGACTTGGTTTCAGCAGAACCCTCAAGCTTTTAGTGACAATTTTTTAAATTTGTGTGCGTACCTAACTGATGCTCGGATACCAATCATTGATTTCAACGCACCAAGTAGAACACACAATTATTTTATGATAACACACTTTGATTATATCAAGAAAATATTGCTCAAAACCTAATACAATAACTCTCATATAATCTCATATTACTCTCATATCAAAACCCAAAGTTTAGCTATGATATATATATATATATATATATATAGTGTTAACCCAACTTGGGCAACAAGTAAGCTAATTAATCTTAGGATCCATAACTTTATCCCTACTTGAACTTAAATAACTCCAGTATTCCTAACTCTACTACTTGGTAATTAGCCAACAAATGTAACGTTTTTGAGGCAGAAATGGGCAATATGGTTTTGGGAATACCCTATACATGATGTAATGATTTTTCCACGTATCAACCAGGTCAAATTTTGGAATGTTTGAGATAAAAATGGCCAAATTTTTTGTGATGGAGTGCAATAGATATATTGAACAAAATAAAATGGATGCATATCAAAAGAATATCATGTTGGAGTTATTCTTATATGCTACAATGGGCAACTTTTAATGAACAGATGATGCAAGAAACAATAGGGATATTTAATTTATCAAAATGGGAGTTTGATGTTTTTTCAGCCTAATGCTAATGACAGTGATTATGGGACAATAATGTTGTACGAATTTAATGTTTTTTTTAGAACTTACTACTTATATACATAATGTCAATGTATCTCTTTGGCGTAATGACTAGATGCATGAATTTGTTAGTTGATTATGTGATTTTCCTATGTTATATGCACATAATGTTGGTTTATTTTTGTGGCGAAGTGATTGTAATATCCCAACCCACGCAGCTCGAATCCATGTACCATCGGATCGAGTTGTCATCAAAATGGCATCCAAACACAATAATTTTCAAAACAATTTAAAACGCTTAATTCAAAACATTATTTATAAATCCATCCGAGTTAACAAAACTGTGTGGAAACTTAAATACTTAATTCAAAACATTATTTACACATGTCAATCTTAACAGGATGAAATGACAAAAAAACCTTGAAATTAACTTGTCGACAACAAGGCTAATTTGCTTTTTAGGGACAATTTTGATATTTTTCAACAATAGGTTCAGTTAATCTAGTAAATGAGCAATTAATTCCAGACACCCAAAAAAAAGAAAAGAAAAATAGACAATTAAATCCTGATGAAGAATATATTGCTTCAATGTATCTGTCAGTTTAACAAGTAAAAAAATAGTAAAAAAATGGAAAATCACATCAGATGTATACAATGCATGAATCTCAGAGAAGTGGACCTATAAACTCTCAATTCAAAACCACGGAGTAGTCCATAATATATTTGGACTATAATCAACTGTCAATTTGCAAAGAGAGTAGAAAATAGAACAAAACATAGCATTTTAAAAATTGATGCGGATTTTTTTATTTATTCATTTTTTTGGCCTTTTTAAAGAAAGCCCCATAGATGATTTTGCAATTTTGGAACCAGTAAGACGCCACTCCTATACTCTCTAAAACATGAGAAAAAAGAACAAAAAATTTGTCACTTGATCACCATTCCAATGAGAAGTTGCAATAGAGAAGAATAACACAGCAAAGACAAAGAGCTACATCACTTATACAACTATACACAAATCACCCAAAAAGTCATGGACAAATATTACTTTATCATCAAACCAAGCCTCGGCAGGACGGGGTAAGAATTTATACCTGATTGTTACTTTTTTGGGTACATTAGATATGGATCTTGAGCTAGAGTCAATACGTCAGGCCTTTCTGCTTGATTATATGTCAAACAACGGCGAATGAAGTCCTATAAGCCCAAAAGTAACCAAAAAAATGCATAAACTCTCCTGCCTTTTAAATTTTAAATTAGACATGAAACTCTAAGTAAATATGCTCAAGGAAGAAAGCACCTTTGCGTCACTAGACACGGATGGTTTTGAAGGAAATTCGACTTTCCGCGCCTTAATTATGGTATCTTCTCGTAAAATTCGTTCTTGTGTCTGGTCATGACCAAAAGGACGCCTACCAAATAGCATTTGATACAGCAAAATTCCAGTAGACCAAACATCAACCTAGAACCAAAGGAAATGTCAACTTTACCAACAAATAACAAGTTACAATTGCTCCATACAAATTGATATTACTGAGCCATAGTATATAGAATGATAGTAACAGTGGCCGATCTATGTAAAGATTTTTCTTTTCTTTTTTTGGTGTGTGTGTGGAGGGGAGGGGGGGCATGTGCCCCTAGGATGGAAAAAAAATACAACACCCTCCGTCACATAGAAAGAGTGATGTTTCTCAAGACAATTCCCAAAAAGAGTCCACTTTGAAAGAAAAGATGCTAATTTTCATTATATTTCATGTATTTAAATTAAAACAGTAAGCCAAACAAGTTAAATATGTTATACTCAAACAACAGCAACAACACTACCCCAGTGCCTCAAAGGTTCCCGCCCATTGCGGGGTGGGAGGGGGGGTTGGATGTACGCAGTCTGACCCCTATGTTCAAAACAAAGAGCGGCTGTTTCCGGATGACCCAGAGCGGCAAAAGTTGCATTGACTAAATGTTACTTCACTATGAAAAAGAAACGCGGACAGTTTAAAGAACCATTTTGCTTTATTACATCATACCCAAAGCCAAAAAATAGTGAATCTTTGGCTCCATGTGAAATGATGAATGGTCTTAGTTAAACAAAGTAATGTCATTGGATGACCCGGGGCGCTCCGGTGCCTTGTTCGTAAAATTGACGGTCCCTACCCCCCTAACCCCCACCCCGCCCTGACCCGAACACCCCCCCCCCCTTCAATTGCACTCCCCAAGTTAAGTTTGACTTTGGAGTCAATTTTGACTCCAAAGTCAAAATTAACTTGGGGGTGCAATTGAAGGGGGTGGAGGGGTGTGTTCGGGTCATCTCATGACATGGGGTTCCAATGTCATGGGAACCCCACCCTTACAAAAAACTACGTTGAGAAGCATGGTCTATTTCTCCAGTTCTCCTTATTAAACGGAATAAGACACTAAAAGCTCCTAAACATTGAGTAGCATTCAATGATGTGAAACAAAAGTGACATGAAGTATAAGCCCATTTTAATATTTTATTAACAGCAGTTTCTGACCTTTGACGATATGAAAGGAGTCTTGCTTAATTCAAAGCACTCCGGAGGTAGATACCTGATAGTTACAGCAGAAATAATTAACAGAAGAAAATAAAAAGTAATATTCTTCACAGTTTAAATGTTTTTCTTAATAAGAATTGTGTCGCTACTCAACAGGATGCTTTTGAAGATTGTGTGCAGGAATCACAAGGACGCTTAGAGCCTACAGAATAAGCAGCAGATACCAGGGTACCAAAGCAAAACAGCTGTTCCAGAAGAAGGAAATCCAGAACAACGAGGCTCTCTGATAAGAAAGATGTGTGGAAAAGGGGACTATTTCAGAATAAAAACATAAGTTTGGTGATGCAAATTTCTTAATAAATATAGGGTTTCCACATGAACATGGATGGGAATCGCAAATTCCATTAAAGGTGGGAAAAATAAATTTCTACACTCTCCTTCTGTTTTCGGTTGTGGGAATGGCGGGAAAAAAATAAATCGACAAGTATTGTTGAATCTGCAGTTGCGACTCCAGCAACTCCATTCCACAATGTGAAACAGGAGTTAGGACTACAAAAGCATTAGAATTTAGAAATAATGGATATGCCCAATGAATATATGATTGGAAAAAAGAAAATCAATATGATAATAAAATGCTTGACTACACAGTGAACAATACCCAGTACAAATGCACAACTCACCAATATGTTCCAGCTCCCTGTGATGTTAGCTCCATGCCCTGTGACCCAACGTCATCCTCTACTATCTTACTAAGGCCAAAATCAGTCATTTTGGCAATACCTAATTCATCAAACAGAACATTTCCAGGCTTCAGATCATAATGGATAATCTTCTGTGGTCTTTTATTTAGGTACACAAGGCCATGGAAAATCTGAATTATGATAATCCTGGCATCTTTTTCTGATAAAACAGGCGTTGCCTTAAGAACTGCATCAAGGTCTTTTCCTGCAGAAAAGAAGTTACAAGAAATTACTAAATCAACTATCTAGAAAAATAATTTAACTATCCTCACTGTAGAAAGAGCCAAAATGACAAAAAATAGCCTCTTATTTTTTTTTACCAGCAAAAATGGAAGTGTTTGAAATAGAGAGAACATACCACTACAGTACTCCAAGACAGTGCAAAATGTGTTTTGGTCTATCTCAAAAATGTCCCAAAGACGCACTATGTGATTATGCACCAACGTTTTGTGGATGTTGTACTCCCTGATTGCATGTCGTATATAGCTTTGTTTCTTCTCTTCACTCCACTGAGCATTTAGCCCATGTAGCTTACATGCAACGTATCTATGCTCCATTAAGTCAAAAGCCTGCCAAATATTTTTGTTATTGGAACAAAAAAAGTAAACATCAATCAGTTTAATATTTTTGCGTTCCGTTTAAGCAAAGAAAATGGCTTCAGTTTCAGATTATACCTTATAAACCTCGCTAAATCCTCCTTTACCAAGAAGGTTTAATAAGGCATATCGCTGGTTCAAAATCTGAAAATTGTTGAAACGAGAACCATCTTCATCGCGTATGCGCTTCATTTCACGCATCAGCTTTCCTTTCTCTAATTCATACCGATCTCGTTCACGCATTATAGTTTCTTCCTCCTGCACAAGACTGAAAGCTCAACAACACAAGACATGCAAAAAAAATTTCAGGTGATTTTTGAGCTACTCCCTCTGTCCATAATTAAAGTTCCCACTTTCCTTTTCGGTCCGTCCATAAATAATGTTCCCATTTCCTTTTTTAGTAAGTTTTCTTTGTTAAAATGACTTAAATGCCCTTCCTATTTCTTTTTTTTCTCTTTCCTTCCTGCGGCAGCCCCCCCCCCTCCCTTTCTTTTTCTTCTTCTTTCCTTCTCTATTCTGTCCTTTCTTCTTCTTCTTCTCCAGAAACTTCCCATTCCATCTCTCCTTTTTCTTCCTTCTTCCGATTTCTCTTCTCTCCTCCTCTATTTCTTCTTGTTCTTATTTCCTTCTTCTTCCTCTCTCTTTTCTTCTCCCCCTCCCTCTTCCGATTCCACCAACCTTTTTTCCTTCTCATTTCCAACCTTATCATCACCGGAAGGCTCTTCTTCGACTTCAACTTTTTTATATCTCCGGCGTCGAGCGTCTGCCTGGATCTGGCGATGGTGGATTTCAGAACTGTAGTATTTTTGGTGCCGTGTTCGAATCCCCGAATAGATCCAGATCCGAGATCTACTACGTCGGAGAATGCGGAAATTGCGACCGGATGGTAGACGTAGACGACCTTTTTGTTGGGATTGCGGGCCGAAATCGAGATCTCGAGCTTCGAGGAGAGCGCGGTGGAGGTGAGGTTGAACTGCGAGAGGCGGAGCGAGTTCACGGCAAACGTGGGGCGTTGGGGGCGGTACAAGACCCAAAACGCGGCGGCGGCGATGGCGGCGAGAAGAAGGAGCACGGCGATGAGGAAAGTGGTCCAGAGACAGCAGCGGCAGCAGCAGCCGCGCTTGTGGCGGCGGGGCGGGTGTTGCGGGTGGTACACTGGAAATTTGGACAGGGATGCAGGATAGGAATGGGTGGGGAAGTGGGGTAAGGTGGAGGGTATTTTGGGAAAGTCAAGGAAATTTTTACATTTTCTTAAAGTGCGTGCCCGGTCAAACCGGGAACTTTAATTATGGACGGAGGGAGTATAAAAAATAATCTTACCCGCTTGATGTTGGCTAAACGTGATTTATATATTTCATCCTGAAAGAGAAGATATTGTTCTTGAGAACCAGCTTCTGAATCTACTATGTCACTTTTATCTGCAATTAACACATTTATAACATACTGGAATATTAAAAGTGATAAAGAAAAGAGAAAGAGATGTTGATAAACAAATGAGGCAGTGAGATGCCTATGATAAAGCATCCAAGGTTTAGACAGATAACAAAGCGCATTCTACGTAGTAGTTCCAGACAGCAGACTAATGAGATAATTTTATGCCTAGACCATTGGTCAAGCTTCCGGAAACAGCCGCTCTATATTTTAACATAGGGGCCAGGCTGTGTACATCCAAATCATCCTTACCCCGCAACGGGCGGGAGCCTTTGAGGCACTGTGGTAATGTTGTTGTTGTACCATTGGTCAAGCTAAATAACATACACATGGATTACTTGCATAAGAAAATGACAAAGAATTCTAGGGCATTGCATACAAAAACCATCTTGTATACAGGTATACAAGCATTGTTAGGACTTGCCATATATAGTAGCAAAACACCACTACTGCAAAGAGATGAAAATTGATATTGCAGATGGGAACCTCTACCTGATTGTCGTTTTTTCATGGATCTCCGCTGCCGTTCAATAGCTTCTTTCAACTCTAATAAGTTTCTCTAGAGCATAAAAATGATAATATTAAAAACAAGACCATTCAAACCCTAAGTGTACATAATGCCAAGAAGAGACATCAAATCATATACCGATGACAGGTAGAGTTTATAATAACATGATGAATATGTTAACCGGTAGCTTGAAAGTTAGAGTCAATCAATTGTCTAAAATTACTTACCACCGTTAATTCTTGAAAGAAATAACTAATGTTTTATATCAGATGCTCTTATTGTGGCAGCCTTCTAATGAAGAAACCCATTAAGTGAATAAGTGCGATCAACTATTCTTCAAAAGGAATTTGAGATGAATTCCAAAACTGTCGTTATAATGGATTGTTTCTACAACAACAACCGAGTTGGATCCCACGCAAGTATAGTCTAGGGAGGGTGCGTAGGTGTGTGTACGCAGATCTTGCCCCTACTCGGACTGTTTCCACTTGCATTGGAAATAGTAAGAGATAGCAATGAACTGCAACGGCAGTTACAAGTTGCACATTGCGAGTGTGGTGTGTTTGAATACACATATACTCATGTCCCAAAATAATTGACATCTTTACTACTTTGGGTTGTCGATAACTTTTGTTTGCTTATGTGTTTTTTCATTGATCATTTGATAAAATAAAATACTCATGTCACCACTCGTTTTGTAGAACTTTTGATGTAGTTTTTAAATGCTCCATCCGTCCCGCAATAATGTTCCACATTTCTGTTTTCATCCGTCCTAAAAAAAGATACAACTTTCTATTTCAGGAAAGTCTATGGCTATTAATAATTTCATATTTCTCTCCTCTGTACCACTTTTACTCACACAATATTACTTTTATTAATCTCTGTGCGTAGTCAATGGTGGAACACTATTAAGAGACAGAGGGGGTATGTAAGTTGTATTTTGTAATTCTATACCAATTTGTAAATAAAATCATTTTAAAAGGGATAAGATTTTGCACGTTGTTCGAAAGAGGACAATTTTTTGTGGACGGAGGGAGTATATATTAATACAGGCAAGAATAAGGAACATACAAGTTGCATATTGAGATCCTTGAGAACTTTTCCTTCTTCCCATGCCTCAGATATCACTGTCCCAGCTCTATAAATCATAAAAACAACATTTTAAAAGAAAATACAAAGGAAACTATTGTAAGGACAACTAAATGTCCAAAGGTTCAATACATCATAAGAAAATTAGAACATCTCAGAACTTGGAAACAGACATATTATCACAACATATTGAAAATAGATTATTGACACTACACCAAGCTATCACAATTTGAAATTAAGGGCCTGTTTGGTGGAAAAATAAATACTCTTTTCGTCCCAAAATGATATTCCATATTCAGACGTGAAAAATCATGTGATTCTTATAACGAATTTATTTACAAATTGGTATAGAAATAAAAAATAAAACCAATATATTTAAAAAACTATATCAAAAGTTCTACGAAACAAGAAGTGACAATAATATTTTATTTTATCAGATGATCAATGAAAAAATATAAACAAACAAAAGTTTTTGAGAGGTCGTAATAGAGAAGATGTAAATCATTTGGGACGGAGGGAGTATTAGTTTTGATATCTTAGATATCAAAATCCAAAAAAAGATGCTTGGTGAAGTTAAAAAGGGATCCAATTGATATCTCTAGATATGCCCCATATCTGAAAATTGCCGCAAGTCCATTTCGGCTCATCATAGCTTATTTCATATCGGCATGTCAAATGAATGTAGGGGTTTCACCTTCTATATAATTAGCTGGCCTTTTTGTATGTTTTGATGCTATTCCACTAAAAAATGTTTTCATGCAGTTCTTTTTGTTTGTGAGTTATTTATTTATTTATTTTTAAAGAAAGTGCTCTAAAAATTTTTAGTTTCGTTTTCCCCAAAGAATTTTCCTTCAGATTTCAAAACTCATATCATTTCTCCCATATTTTAAAATCCATATCTAATCATATCTCCAAAACTCACCAAACAGACCCTAAGGTAGGTATGTATGAGTAGCATTTAACAAACATGAGAACACAAATAAGGGCATGCAAAAATAGAATAGTCCAAATACTTATTTAATATAGATATCTGAGAGATGACAAAGTAATCTGTATATAAAATAAACCAAGTTGACACATACCAATATGTGAAATCTGCACTAAATAGTACTAAAACATATGTCCTTTCCCAATGTAGTACTTAAATGTTATACCCGAGCCTAGCCCCATGAAACTCTCACTCACGCCTTACACTATCATAAGAACCAAAGGACTTATATTCAAATATTATGATCCATTTTAGTTGAATTCAAATGGTCCTTAAACCCGAAAGGCCAAAACAACCTCCGTTTGACCCGAGGGTTCTGTGGTCTACTCCCATTTCAGTCCAAACCATCCCAAAACATCCAAAATATTTCCTTTTCAAAATAAAGTTTTTCCTACTCTTATTTTAGCCATGGCCGAAAATAAGAGTGTATAAACCAAAACCTTTTTGTTTGTTGTTATTTTCCTTCTTTTAAGCCTTTTAATAAACCAGTAAAACCCTCTCTTCCTTCCTTTCATTCCCTGCCCAAATAAACCTCACAATCCCAACACAACA